AAAGCAGTGGGATGCTAGACGGAAGCTTACGCCCGAACAACGGAAGGATACACCCTACGTCGATTACCTACGTCCGATTGTCGCAGATGGTGACACAGGGTATGTCAGATCCTTTGGAAGTTGAGAATTGATTGGCTGATGTATCTAGACATGGAGGGTTGTCGGCCGTGTTGAAGCTGGCTAAGCTCTTTGCAGAGAATGGCGCTGCGGCTGTTCATTTCGAGGACCAGCTTCACGGCGGAAAGAAATGCGGTCACTTGGCTGGCAAAGTCCTTGTGCCTATTGGAGACCACATCAACAGGCTTGTCGCGGCACGTTTCCAGTGGGATATGATGGGAACAGAGAACTTGGTCATTGCTCGTACGGACTCGGAGAGCGGCCGTCTGATTAGCAGTGCTATCGACGTGCGCGACCACGAGTTCCTCCTTGGTGTTACGGAGAATGTGGAACCTCTCGCAGAGACCTTGCAGGCCATGGAGCGAGAGGGAGCTGCTCCTTCGGAAATCGATGCGTACGAGATGGACTGGGTTAAGAGACACAAACTTGTCACTTTTGATGAGGGTACGATGCCTTAGTAGCTCCTCCATATTAGGCTCGGCTAATCACGGTTTCTTTAGCTGTCGATGCACACCTTGAGGCAGAGGGTGCGTCTCAGTCCGCTCGAGACGCATACAAGAAGCGCGTCCAAGAGAACCCCGACCTTTCTATCTCCCGCCGGAGGGCATTGGCAGACGACTATTCCCAGACACCGGTGGTTTGGTCCTGCGATACCCCTCGCACCCGGGAAGGATTCTACCATTACCGTGCTGGGTTCGCGGCTGCCACTAAGCGAGCCAAGGAGTTCGCACCTTACTCGGATCTTCTTTGGGTTGAGACAGGTGATCCGGATGTTGCCAAGGCTGCGAAGCTGGCAGGTGATGTGCGCGCTGCACACCCTGGCAAGAAGCTGGTTTACAACCTGAGCCCGTCATTCAACTGGATGGGTCAGGGCTTCGACGAAGCCTCTCTGAAGTCCTTCATCTGGGATCTAGCGCAACATGGGTACGTGAATAGTCTTATTGAACACAAAGTTAACAGTAGCTGACCTGGGTAGATTTGTTCTGCAACTGATCTCTCTCGCTGGAGTGCACACCAACGCAACCATCACAACGGAACTCTCGCGCGCGTTCAAGGACGAAGGCATGCTCGCCTATGTTCGGATGGTCCAGGCACGAGAGAAGGAATTGGGGGTGGACGTACTCACCCATCAAAAATGGAGTGGTGCGCCATACCTGGACGGCATTCTCGGAGCTATTCAAAGTGGCAGCAGCAGCAGTAAGAGTATGGGTGAGGGGAACACCGAGAAAGGTACGTTCACGGCTTCAGTGGCATCAACACCAGTTACTGACTGACTATATATAGGCTTCTAAACTGAGGCATGTCAATATTGTAGATATCTGATTTCGATGTTAGTCTTTAATGTAGCGATGTAGAGAAGAACCAGCTTTTTGACTTTGCCTGTACTTAACTCACGGAGTTATGCTTCATACTAATTGTGTCGGCCCCTGCCTTTAGGTCGTATTTACGATACAGGCTGAAATTCCTCGCCGAATAGATCTGATCATTTGATGATATGTCGGGGTTATGGTTCAAGAAAGTAACCTAACCGTTTCAGATCTGGTCACATTGTATCGAACTAGATTTACAGCATCCTGAAACTGGCACAGGTATTGCTTTTACGTTAATAAATTAGAGTTGTAAAGCCTCTCTTGCGGATGAATCTGCCGGGCAGCGATACATCATATGCAGCCCACACTGGTTCGCTGATAACCAATCGGTAATCAAAAACGAGCTCCTGCGGTCTAGTATGTACCACTCGAAATGAGCGTAAGTAATAACACGTGCCAACACATGTCCGTTTCCTCTCAAAGGGTATGGATGTGTCCATGGTTCGGTTAGGAAGGCTTGTTCGTTGCATTGATGCTATCAGCCCCACTGCGATCCGAGCTGGTCTTTCCCTACCAATGAAATGTGCCTTAACGCAGCAAGGGATTGCTGTATCTCCTGAGAGAATGTAAGAGAAAAAAAAATCCTGCGCCGCAGGTCATCAGATTCTTCATGATTCTGTGCCGGCACAATAGTTTGCAAAAACCGGGGAATTTCCCGAGGTGTTCTTTAGTATGTCGCTTGGTAAGTTTCCCACCGAGTGGATCATCTGGGAGAAACCGAACCGCTAAGCATAAAATACAGGGTCCTGGCAAAGTACGGGCATAAGGCGGTATTAATCCGCGTAACTATCTGCTGGAACAACAGTAACATCAGTAATCAATCAGTATAGATCGGACCAGAAAAGTATACTACGTATCAGAACACCCGATACCTCAGGGTAATTACCATTTCAGGTACTTTGCTTTCTTGGGATGGGTTTTGGAAAGTCATGTATACATCTTGTTGTTGGTCAGTTGACTGGCTTCCTCTTTCTCTTTCTCCGTTATCCTCTTCGCCCGTCCTCCTCAGCTGGCTTAGCTTCAACCACTTCCGTCTGGTTCAACATCTCGCGCTAAAATGGGGTCCAGACAGAGCAGAAAAAACCTTCCCCGCTTGGTGCCTGACCTGTTCAACTCCTTGATCTGCCGTGCTTGACAGGATGAATCGCCTCCCGGACGAGATTCTCCTCCTTATTGTTGACAACATCGTCTTGTTCAAACATAAATACCAGTTTCTCCAGGTTTGTCGCCGTTGGCGGTCAGTCCTATTCAAGGCGGTCTACGACTATGTCTGGATAGAGGGACATCAGATTCGCCCTCTTCTCTTGGCCATCCAGCAAAACCCCGCGATAGGATCTTCCATCAAATATTTCAGGTTGCACTGGTGGTCCTGCTATACATGGGATAAGGAGAATCACGATATCACTTCTGTTCTACCGCTTGTGAATCGGATTAGCCAATCAGAGGAGGAAACGAAAGAATGGGAGGAAGCTTTGATAGAGGGCAATCAAGATGCATGGCTTGGCTTACTGCTCTTGCACATGGAGAACATGACAAGCCTGTTAATGCATTATACAAGGCAACCCAAATTTCTCCGTCGAGTTATCTCACGCGCCGCAATACGTGAGAAGCCATTTGACACGATGCCAATTCTACAGCGATTGGTCGATGTCGGGATTGACTCCTCGGACGACAATAAAGCATGGTTCCACAAGACTGAATTTCTCCCCTTCTTCCATCTTCCGGCTCTGCGGTCCGTGAGCCTGGACTCCGTGGTTGAGTCAATGGGCGTTCAAATTGACCACCCGGCTTTCAAGCCTGCCAAGGGTACCTCTCCAGTTGTCGAACTAGAGTTTGGTGCACACCCTAATGGCAGTAAGGGCATGGCGGACTTTGTTACATCATGTGCGAACCTCGAGAAATTCAAATATCAACACTCAAATCAGGTAATATGGGGAGAACGATATATGAACTTCCGTCCTCGGGCATTCTACTCTGCGCTTTGTACGCAAAAGCACAGCTTGCAGGTCCTTCATTTGAACGACGGAGGGGAGACACAGCAATCTCTTGACGACGATGACGACGACGATGATGATGATGATGATGACGCGAGCGTTCCCCCAACCGACTGGTTCGGGTCATTGGCGGATTTCACTAAGCTATGGGATCTCCGAATTCCTGCCTCCACACTATTGAATTTCCACTTGAGTGATGACCAACCAAAAGTATCATCGCTCAAAGAGATCTTGCCGTTTAGTTTGAAATGGCTTTGTCTGTCGCATTATGAAGACTCCCTGAGAGAGCAAGTCATATCCAATCTGCTGGAGGTGGTGGCTTGTCGGAAAGAGAAGTTTCCGTATCTCGAGGAAGTGGAAATCCAGTCATATTGGCAGAATACTCGTGAGAGTTTATCTGCCAAGCAGGCTTTTATGCCACTGATTCAAGCTGGTGAAGATGCGGGGATCGATATACTTGTATTTCCTTCATTTTACAGACAAAGGAGAGCGTAGACTATCACAACTATTTTCTTCCGCTACTATATTGAATAAACCTCAGCAGACTATGTTGCCATACCACTACTCAAATATACGAAATATCAGTGCCTAAGATGAAGGTCTCTCTCTTCCGTCTTCCCCCATCTGTTACTACTTCAACCACATACACGCAAGGATGTGGCCAGTTGCCAAGGTCCAGGCAACAAGAGCAAGAACTATCTATTATAACTACTCAACAAATACCCATCAATACTACCATCCATTGTCACTCCACATCCCTGAGAGTCCAACATAACATCCGCATTTCAGAATACAGACCTTCAATATCTTCTAATACCTCTTAGCAACATTACCATCACCCCATCCGCCTCATTACTTTCCCTCATAATATCCTTACTACCTTATCAAGATCCATTCCGTCTATTAGTCCAATATTATCATTAATAACTACTTACCCTATACCTCGGATAAATACCCCGAGGATAAGAACCTAGTGGTTGGTAAATACCTAGCGAAAAATGGTAAATAGTGCCAACTATAGGACTACAGTACAAGTGTAGATCTTAGCCTATTATTTTCATACTAATTACGTTTCCTATTGGTGGTTTAGTTTCGTAGTATCATATCAATAAGTAGTAAGTATGGTTGGTTATGATACCCCTCAGCTGGGCTTGGCGAGGCTCGGTAAAGTAAGTATAGTATACCAAGTAATCTATCTAGGTTTGGCTACTACTTTATTTGCTGGTAAGACTGGTATATACAATATCACGTATGATGTCGGAGATTCTGCAGGAATGTATCATTACTGCTATTTCGTGAGGGTTTGGGATAACTCGACCTGTCAGGTGCTTTGATACCCATGACGATAACCGAGTCAGCATTAGCTGAACTGGGAAAGCTCATATCCCTACTAGTCATGGTAGTTTCAAAATCGATTGATCTTTTTATCTCGCAGTGGTTATCCGGATTTCACGAGTCACTAATAGCTATTGCAACCTTTTCTGCTGAAAATTACGACCTAGCCTAACTCTGTATCAAAGGTAGCAATCAATATCCATTCTGGAAAATAAAATAGAGGTACAAGATGCGAGCGTGTATCCTCGACGCTTTGGCTCAACGTATTATGGTTGTGATGAGGGGGTCCGTCGAATGTACTCGACAAGTAGAAGGGAAATAAACAGACCAGGGTTGTAGAAGAATCTTCATGATGACAATCTTGCTCCTAGGAGATGTAATAGAGAAAGTAGAAGGAAACACGGAAACAACGGATACCTTACAAAGTGGACAGCTCAAGATAGAAGTGGAAAAAAAAAAAAAAAAGAAGAGAAAAGATAAGGAAACCCAAAGACAAGTCATAATAGGACATTCGAAGACAATCTCCTCGAATGAACGCATCAAGCGGACCCGTGAAGGTAATGGAAGTAATGGCAGGTAGGTAGGCATCCCCCAGGGAAAGGGTAAACCCACGCGGATGGACCGAAGAGATAAATACACAAGCCACACTTTCAGAAGAGAGGATGAAGCTCAATCAAAAGGTGGAAAGGAAAGAAAAACAACCAAGACAACGATTTTCCCCCATGAAATCAACAATTGCTACTCGCTTAATAACGGACAAAACAGCTGCAATATCGTGGCAGATTAGTTGACGCGGAATGCATCAAAGATGACTGCATAGGTGTCAGTAATGAATGGTTCGGGGTTGGATGACGAGGTTGAGCACTGACCTTCGTGGCCCCTGCGGCAGCCACTTCCGATCCACATCAGAGTGTTCAAAAACGCGTAACGTTCGTCTCCAGTTTCCATGTTCAAGTTGATGCGATATTTGTATGTATTGGGGTTGATGCTATCCGCCATACCGGGGTCATTGACCTTGTCCAGAATATCCTTGGCTCCGGTCAACCAGCCGTTGGTTTTCACGACGATGTATGCGGGGGGATCGTCGGCGGTCTGGAGCATGTAGCTCGCTCGGAGATGTGTAGATGATTCCTTGGTCACGATTTGCGAGTCTTGTCCTCCAGGCTATACGCACAGTGAGTATGTTGCTGATGATAGCAACCCAATTAAGCGTCACGACTTACCAGAACAACACCTTTACCCCACCGACCAGCCCACTGACCACCGACAAATGTTACCCAATCACGTTGACCCCAAATACTTTCACCAACAGACACCTTCGGGTTCATCTTAATGCTCATGCGGAAGTCCAGTTCCAGGGTAGGCGCGGGGATCTGCAGGGAACGCGCCACGTCGCCTTCGGGGAAAGTATGAAGAAGGTTGTTTGCGGGGATCGAGTCTTTCATAACGCTGAGGTAGGTGGGGCATTCCAGTAGGTGCTGACGCTGACGGCTGGTGTTCTTTGCGCGGACCTGCTGGCAATAGATGCATTGAACGGAAAGACACTGGTGGTGGTCTCCTGTCAGACATAGGGTTCTATCAGGCAACATGTGGGCCATATCCTCGCTCACCTTGTCTTCTTCTTTGGCACGGAACTCCACGAACGCGGCATGAACATCATCGAGGGGAGGGGCAGGAAGGTTCGAGGTCGAGTTCTTGGGCTTCGCTTTGGGAGTGGCACGAGCTGCCTGCTGGGTGGCAGAGACCGTGGAGGCGGTTGCGGCTGGGCCTGATGTCGGGAGGGAGGCGCGACTCTGCATGTTCTGCAATGGCGTCTGCATCGGAGTAGCATGAGTATTGACACCGTTCGACATCATGGGACCGTTGGGAGTCGCGAGAGCACCGGGCCCAGGGCCAGCACCCGGCGCGGTGGCCGCAGCACCATTCGGGGTGGGAGGGTATCCATTGGCAGCAGCGATGCCATTCGGGGCAGAGGGGGCGGACTGGGACTGGGCCTGGGGATTGGTGTGGCCGCGGAGACCGGGACACTCAAGCAGGTGCTGCTTCTGGCGCGAGGTGTTCTTTGCGCGAATCTGCTGGCAGTAGATACACTGGACGGAAAGACACTGCGAAAGCAAACAACCAGGTTCGTCATGTCAGTGACGCTGGTGTTGGGCGGCGGGTTGAAATATTACGGGAAATACAGGAGTCACGCACCTTATCGTCTTCCTTGGCGCGGAACTCGACGAACGCCGCGTGAACTTCCTGGTCGACGGTCCGACCCATGTTCACGACGAAGGGGTTGAAGAAATCGATGGTGGGTGGATTGGCCGGAGAAAATCGACTAGAAAAGAGATGAGAAGGGCGCTGCAGGGGATGGAGATGGGGGTGTCGACGTCGTGAGGGAGCAAAGATGAGGAACGAGGCAGCGAGGACTCGGGGGAGCGAGAGTGAAAAGGAAGAGAGTGTTTGACGGCCTGGAAGAACAAGACGAGACAAAACGGGGACAAGACAAGACCGAGACGGTGGCGGTTAAGTTACGCGAGCCCGTCAGGACGAGACCTTACCATATGCGTAATTTTGATCCCGAGGGGTCCGTCCACAGAACCAACATACCGAGATTACTGGTTTCGCTCAACTTACTGTACACACTACTAATGATACTATCTTGATGGCTTGATCAATTCTTCACTTCTTCTCTTCTCCTCTCCATTCATCCCTCATTATCTTCTTTCTTTGTTTCTTTGAACAAAGTCCAACTCCGGCCTTGGGTGTCCCAAAACTCCCTTCCCCAAAGTCAAATTCTGTCACGCGGCAGGCTGACCAAAGCCCGACCACGTTCCCAAAATAAGCGGAGGCTTGAAGGCCTATCAGCGTAGGCCATTCAATGCATCGGAGCAGGGAATACAAATCGAGCACAGCTGCAGCAGGTAGTCGGTCATCCTTGAGAGATTATTCCACAGCATTGTAGATTATAGATCTGTTGTATACATCCATCTTATAGATTGCGTTCCCTAATACCTGATAGATATACTTAGTATCCCACTACTGCATTACTGGTATCGCCGTAAGGGTATGGAACGATCGGCGCATTTACAGTTTCGATATACCGCGTCTCACAAGGCCACCACTTAAACGGCCGGACCGCGCGGATACTAAGTAGTAAACTTGCTGTGTTGTCTATTTAGTCCCCATCCGTATTCCTTCAGAAGACGTCAGTGATAAATCCACACTCGCAAACCTGAGACATAAACGAGGGTCTTGAATCTAAATTCATCGAAACTGGGCGTCCTATTAACTTACTCGCGATCACAACTCCTTGTGACAGCACAGTATGCTGTGTAAGGAACGCAAGACGCAGCGCGGCACAGCCACCGCCAACCTCGCGTGTCTTGCCGTGTCTTGGAGAGGAACCCCCTGAACATCATTATCATCACCGCTTGCGCAACTTGAAGGAATGTGGATAGTAGTGAAATACGAAATGTGCTTCAACTGTGGGAGGTAGAGGATACAGTATATTCTATTACTATGATGATAAACGCCGTCTTGTATTTATCCGTATATTATGTTTGTAGACGGCGGCATCCATCAATGGAAGCGTGTATTACTTACTTAGTACTCTCGTATACCATACTGGTATGGATCTAATCGAGACCGTTGTTTTTACACCCGGGGGAAAATAACGACGATGTTTTTTCGACTACTTCTAAATAAAACTGCTTTTGTTTCTCTGAAAGGTTGCTTGATGGCTTGCAATATTACTGTCCATTTTCTGTGTTGGACCAGACCAGACTGGCCTGGCCTGATCTTCTGATGATGAGATCACCGGCCCACCTAATCTTCCGAGGCCAATCGCGAGCTTTTGTCGACGCCTTGTACTGTGTCGCTTCGTTTGTAGTTCGTGTGTTGCATGCTTGGCTTGGGACGCACTCTTTGTTTCAGATGTATGCTTGCTGTCAGTATCTTTAGACGTCATCGAGATGGTTTCCTCTACGTTGATTTGCCAATTCACAGTTGAGGCTGTCATGGAAGGTTTAGTTTGCTAGCTCAAGAGTGGATTTGGGATCTCGTACTGATAACAAGGTGGTGGTGACGATGCTGGTATAGTGGTATGAGGCGTCGGAAGGTTTTGTTTAGAACTGTATTTGGGAGGCTTGGTGTCTCAGACACAGTATGAGTAGTAAATTTGATAGATCAGCTATTCGAGAATCTTAGAGGAATGTAACCCACAACATGTAAAGGAAAACATGGATAGAATAGAGTGACATGTGCATGTCTCTACTCAAAACAAGCAAGAGTAGGAAATAGTATAGAAAATGAGCACTCAATACAGACGGGGGTTTCTGCAGCTACAGGTATGATAACGAATAATTAATGTTGTGCTGTAGTAGCCTCCTACAATCCTGGTATGCATAGGTGAATCTCTCCGTACTTATATCGCACGCCATATTCTTCAGTGCTTTGGTCTTCGTATGCTTCTTGTTTTACCGAAAGTATACCTTTAGTTGCAAGTGTAAGCACATGCATGAAGCCCTGAGTAGCCACGATGTGAGAGGTCTTCTGCGGAGGGAGAAGTGTGGAGAATGCCACTGGTCGATTTTCCGCGGCTGGAACATTCGGGTCATAGCCTACCTCTTCATTTGCAGGTGTCGTGGTCATGAATATGGATTCCAAGTACTTAAGGAGGTTCAAGCTCTCTTGGTCAAGTGTTGACTTTTGTGAGTCATCATTGAGTACTTGCAGGCCCTGAACAACAGAGTGTGTTCCATGGTCTTCTGCTTCCATTATGTGATCCTCGTCAAAGGCTCCACCATTCTCCGTTGCAAGCTCGGTGTGTAGATACTGGGAAATGTCAAAGTCGTCAAGGTTCTCCAACTCACCCATCTCGTTTCCAGGAATCGAGATAACATTGAGCGCTTCAGCGTCAAAAGGAAACCCACGGCCAGCAAGGGGACTTGCGCTTGTGAGACGGCTGCGTGCTCTTCCAAATCCAGTCTCTGAAACTCCATGTGATGAAAAGTCACTGGCGCTGCCAAATCCGCGGAAGATGTTCGCAGCAGACGAGCCCTGTCGAGAGCTTTGAATAGATGCTGTGATGTTCCATGGCATTTGGATGGAGTGGTCATCGCGAAGAGAGGGTGGTGCATTGCGACCGTATTCGACATCCTGTGTACAATAGTTCAGCTTTGGTCCGATAAGCATAGAGAGCACGACGACATATACAAACCTCATTCCATAACCTGTCGTCGTGACGTCCGATCTGATTATCATCCTCCACCCTTGGGCGTACCCGTCGTGTATCGATATTGGGATCCCCTTCTTCGATCGATGAATGAACACGCTTGCGTACTCGACCATTCGATTTATCCTGGAGCTTTTCATATAGTTGGTCCCCTGAGAAAGAATGCAATGGATGCTTGACATGAGACACCCCCACGCCCACACCGACAGAACCAATGCCTTGACCGAAGACCCAGAAAGCAGCCTTTTTCTTTGCCAAAGTTGGAAGCTTGTTTCTCTGCTTCTGCTTCGAGGCTGCTGCCATGTTCTGCACATAGTTATTATTCAATTGGGCCATTTCAGTGTTTCGCAGTGCAATTTGGTCATCTAATCCAATGACCTTGGGGCCTCTTCTCTTTTGCTGCAATGCCGCATTCGAGTCCACAGCATCTTCATCCTCCATTACCTGGTCAAATATAGAGGCGCGGTTGTAAGTGGTCTTCTGCATGTCAACGTTTTCGGCTTTCGGTTTTAGACCTGATAGTTCTCTTTTGAATTCTTCGTCAAGCAAAACTAGCTATTTCGTACTCTTGTCAGGCAATTGAAATATTGATAAGATATTTCTGAGCCGTACCTGATCCTCCATGACAATGTTTTCTACCACGTCAACTTCCATGTCATCTGCAGCTCTTTCTTCCATGGCTGGGATGTTCCCTTGCAATCTTGTCTCAGGCTGATCGGATCCAGCAAGCTCGATAAGATTTCCATCTTCATCGAATTCAAAGTCAGGTTGCAGGATCACACCGGATTCCTCACCATACTGGAGGGACTCGATGCCGCCGAGATCGATGCCTATCCCTCCATACCGACTCACACTAGTAACCGCGCTGAAACCATCTATGTCCCCAAATGATCTGTTAGAAGACAAGTCTAGTTTCAGGCTGGCGGTCTGAGAGAGAGCAGATTGGCTAAGATCAGGAGTCTGAGGCCACATCCGACTTGATTGTTGGCTCAGGTTCAAATCGATCGACAGATTCAAACTTGAAAAATCTAGTCCTAAGCCAGGGAGGTTATTTTCAGGAAGGAAACTCGGATCATAGGGTAGAATGAGCTGATCTGGTCTATATGAATGGTAAGCATCGAGACTCCGTCGCAAATTCCGCATGTAATAAGACATCAGGAGAACAGACCTAGCCTTTCCTGCTGTAGGGTCAAGGCCCCCTCCAGGAAGAACCTTCAACAGAGCTCTCATTCTGTCATGCATTGCTTGGACATCGGTGAGGGTGTATCCACACTGTTGGCTGTATACCCTCGACACCCCATACCTAGAGAAGCGCGTTCCAATGAGCAAAGTAATCTCCAGACATCTCCCCGCGGAGCAGGAGATCTTACAGCAGATTTCCTTGAAGCCTTAAAGCCATCGGCGCCACCGGGTCCATTATGACACCACACGTCTTGGGAACATCCACATCCAGTATAGTCTTCTTGTTCAACTTTCTCGTGACGGATTTCGAGCCCAAGGTGGCAACAAGCCTGTGAGGATTGCAATGTCAGTATAGTAATAGAGCAGACATATTTAAGGAGGGGAACGCGACAACTCACCAAACCGTAGCAACTCCATGTTCAGGAGAAGTAAGAACTATCAGGAGAAGTCAATCAGCACAATCACTCAATATTTACATCCTCAATGCCACATGAAGTGCAAGGCAAGTCCAGCTCTGGATTCACTTACTCTCATGGCTATAGAACATATCGACTCGCGCCTTATGCGCCTTGAGAAACGGCTCTCGACGCGTCCCTCAGGCTGGTACTCAATCTATGAACCACTGTCAGTGACCTAGACGCGCAGGGATGCTTCAACAGTGATTTGTATCTGGGAATCGCGCGGCGAAGTGATTAGCAAACGGTGGTTTGAGTGGAATTTGACCGGGTTTTACTTTGAATGGGATCAGCCCAGCTGAACTAGATCGCGTTGGAACTTCCTGCACCGGGAAAGGCAGTTCCAGCTTCTGGCTCCGACTGTATGTGCTTGTTGGCTGGACTAGCTGTCTTTCGGTGTGGTCGGAAGTATGACAACCAGTCACTGCTGGAGCAAGAGCGCGCAGGATAAAGTAGTTAGACGGATAAGGGTGAGATGGCCTGACTAGCAAGATAGATAGATGGTGGGGCTTAGCTGATGAGACAAGGTGATCAAATACCGACAAGGAGAACTGAGGGGGTAGAGTCGGAGTGTGAGCAGATGTTGGTGGAGCTGGAAGGCACTGGGACACGAATGAATCTGTAGCAGGTAGTAATGAGGATACAACATCAGAGCATCGCAGTCAACTCAGAAACTACTCACTACTGTATAAAGACGGAAAACAACAAGGTGTACGGGGAATGTTTGACATACGATGGAGTTTGAGTTCATTTTACCAGAGGATACTCGAACTGCATGCGCATTTTATCGGGCTAGCTTTATCGTGGAATAAACGCCGCGCTGAAGAGGCAAACGGTTACTCGAATCAAACTATGTGAGCATTTTTATCCCCTTTCTATATTACTACACTGAACCAGCATCAAGAAATTCAATAAACCCACATTGTACAGGGAAGGTGCTTTTCAGTGTCCATTAAGACAACACAATTGTGGCAATACAGAACAACAACCGAAGAAGCCAGGGATCTATAGACGAAAGAGCTGATAACTGAGAAAGAAGTGAAAGAAAAAAATCAAGTTGACTATGGAAAATGAAGGAAGAGGTAAATGCTGCTACAATTATCTCCAACCCATAGCAACCCAGAAAGATGCACGTGGGGTATGAGACACGCAAGAAAGATCAAACCAGAACTTAAAACACGAAGGACGATTTTCTCGATTTCCAAAAAAATAAGCCCCCGTATGGGATGGGGTTCTATACCTACCCCGGGACCAGATCATAGTACATGAGGTGTATTTAACATATAGGAGACACCTAGTCAAGAGGGATGCCCTGGTATTCGCCGTAGCCAAGGGCAAGGTTCATGTTCTCTGTAGCGAGCATGTTAGCTTCAATCCTATCTGTGACTTGAGTGACTGTTGGACCGAGGGACTTACGCAGGCACTGGGTGGCGGCACCCTTGAGCAGGTTGTCAATGGTAGCACACACGACGACCCGCTTGCCGCTGGAGTGGACAGCGAAGCCACCAACCTCAACGCCGTGGCGGCCAGCGATGGCCTTGACGGAAGGAGGCTCGCCAACGATCTTCACAAGCTTCTCACCGGCATAACGATCCTGGTAGATGTTGCGAATGTCGCGGGAGGTCATCTCCTCCTTCAAGGGGATGCTGATAGTGTGCTGTATAGAAGTCAGCTTCGACTCAAACCGAGATTAGATAGCATAGAAACAAGGGTAACATACGTGAATGCCCTGGAACCAGACAGCAACGTGAGGGATGAACGCAATGCTGGTGCCAAGCTGCGCGCTGATCTCCTTCTCGTGGATGTGATCAGTCAGGCTGTAGGGAATGATGTTGTTGGTGAGGTTGTCCACGTCGTTCTTGGGGCTGGGCTTAGTGCCAGCTCCGGAGTAGCCGGAAACACCGAAGACAGTGGGCTGGCCACCCAGGTAGGGCACAAGGGGGGCAATTCCAATCTGAGCGGCAGTAGCGTAGCACCCAGGGTTGGCGATACGGGTAGCCTGGGCAATCTTGGAACGGCTGACCAACTCAGGCAGACCGTAGGTCCAGTTGCTGTCGAACCGGTAGTCGGCACTCAGGTCGACGATCACGTTGCCCTTCTCAGCACCCTGGTCCACGGCATCAACAAACGGCTTGCAAACGCCGTTGGGCAGAGCCATGACCCAGCAGTCCACATCTCCGTTGGAGGACATGCGCTTAACATCATCGGGACTGAGGTTCTCGTAGATGATCTCACGCTTGTCGTAACCCTGCAGCTTCTTACCAACCAGCTCGCGAGAAGAGACGTGACGCAAATCCATGTGAGGATGAGCGTTAAGCAGACTGATCAGAGCCTGGCCGGTGTAACCACGGGCTCCAATCAGAGCAACCTTGGAGGGGCGGGTGTTGGACATGTTCTTCTCTCCCAACGGGGGGTTGGGGTTCGTCGTGGCGTAGGTTCTGACAGTCTGCACAGGAACCATCGGACGAGCAGAACGAGCGGCACGCAGAGCATTGCTGGTAGAGGAGAAGGCACGCTTCTGCTCAGCAGAAGCGCCGCTAGCACCAAAACCCTTGCCAATGTGAGTGGCGGCCTGGGCAGCACGGTGCAGTCTCGACTCGAGGTTGATGTCTCCAAACATCTGGCGACCGTGCTGGTTGAACTCCTGCACCAGCTGCTTGACCTCATCACCGCTCTCGACACCGTACCAGAAGAGAACCTCTCCCTCACGGCTGAGGCTGCCATCGGCCTTGTCGAAGAACCAGGTCAGGTTCTCATCGTCCTCCTTGACTGTCCAGACAAGCTTGGGGTAGTCCTTCTTGATGGAAGCGAAGACGTTGTCGGCAACGTTGGTCAACCAGCCGGACTTGGTGATGGTGAAGGTAGCCAAGTGAGCCAGGGAAGAAGTAGCATCCTTCTGAGGGGGCAGGACAACGGCCAGCGCCTCCATAGGCTCATCATAGTAGACCTTGAAGTCACGCTCCTTCAAGCCCTCAACATAGCGGTCAACAGTAGCGCGGGCATCCAGGCCCTCGCGGTCACGAACCAGGACCTCCTTGAGCTTCTCGAGATCCTCGAAGTCAGAGAGAGAAGTCTTAACGTGAACCTTGTTGCCACGGCGGATCAGCGTACCGGCTCCGGAGTCGGTGAAGAGTTCCTTCTGCAGATCAGCAGGGTGGATGATGGCAACGCTGGAGGTACGAGGCAGGTCGCTGAGCAGGTCCTTCATCTCCTTGATCTTCAGGCGGGTACCGTGACGGACCCACCACTGAGTCATCAGGTGATCGTACTCCTCGTCGAGGTTGATCACAGAGATCTTCTCACCGGTGTCGCCGTTGAACAAGCCACCCTTCTCGGCAAGGTAAACAATCTTGAGCGGCTGGAGCGCACGCGCCAACTCACCGGCAGCCACATCAGCGTTGACGTTCAGAACCTGGCCATCGGGAGTCTCGGCCATAGACGTAAGAATGGGAAGGCAGCCAGCCTCAATGGCAGACTCAATTGGCTTCTTGTTCACGCCATTGATCTTGCCAACCAGGTTGTACTTGTCCTTGTCCAGGTAATCAGCGGTGAAGACACCCGCGTTGAGAGGGCGCGCCCGGACACCCATGCGCTCCAATTCCTCAATCAACTTCAGGTTCTCCTCCAGGAACAGCTTCCGGGCCAGAGCCAGTGTCTTTCCATCGGTGACCCGGATTCCGTCTTCGAACTGAGGCTCGACGCCGGCGTCTTCCAGCATGCGGTTGAGCTGGGGTCCAGCACCGTGGACGACGATCGGGTACAAGCCGACATGGTTCAGGAAGGCAAGGGCGGAGGAAAGAGTCTGGAGGTGCTCGGTGATGATGGCACCGCCAACCTTGATGACAGCGAACTGCTGGGAGGAAACGGAGGTGAAGTGAGAGAGATACTGCTGCACCTCACGCTTGGAACCGATGTTGCTCAGCAGCTGGACAACGGTAGAGCGGGTGGAGGAAAGCTGGGGGTCAGCAGCACGGGAGTAGTGACGACTCTGCAACAGGGGAACCGCAGAGGCCTTCAGGGATTGACGAGCAGAGGCGCCGCCCAGTCTAGCAGAGGAAACAGCATGCTGTGCGGAGAACGCGCGGAGGGGCTTGCTGGAGGAAGCTCTCCGCACGGCGGTGCGAAGGGAGAACATATTGCCAGCCAGCATGCGGCAGCTTCGGAGGCCTAGTCGGACAGGAAGGTCGAGGGAGGGAGACCTAAGAGGGGAGATGGGAGGTTAGAGGGAGTTAAGTAGTAGTAGTAGCAGTAGTGACGGTGGTTGAGAGGAGAAGTGACGAAGAGGGAAAAAAGGTTGTGCGGAGGTAGTAGTGCGGGTTCATCAGGGAATTTGCCGCAACCCCCAAAGAGTTTGATCGTCCAGATAGAGATTATCGGCCACACCTCGGAGCGGGCGCGCGCCCTTTGGGGAGGGGAATTATTACTCACTAGTTGGCCCCGACCCAATGGCTGGCCGCAATCGCCCTGTTCGTGGGTGGGTTTTACTTGACTTTTCGGCCGTGACCTCTTCTGCCCTTTTGGTTAAGTTTAAGCCTTGGGGTTTTATAAAGGCTTTTTCAATGTCGCTCTTTGCCGTGTTCGGGAGCGCCCTTTATATCTCTCCCCACGCGGGCCTCGTTTTTTAGGCTGTTTTCACAAGCTCACCAGGGGCACCTGGACCTTCGTCGAACCTGTCACTGTATGTGAGCGAATTTTGATCTGGCCACTGGAATAAATTGCGCAAAACCCGGCTTTCAACAGATCACAGTCGAGGGATAAACGCCAGTCCGCACAAGTGCCCGAAACGCTGGCTTGGCTGCGACTTTCGGAGCCGGGTATCGAAAGTGACTCACCACATTATTCAAGCCGGTTCCAATTCCGGTCGCCTTCGCTCCCATCTCGACCTCGCTTCCCTCTTTCCCATAGACACACGTAATGGAAACCAGCATATGGATCCCGGCGATCCCCTGTGATCAATTTTCATCAATCAATAATAACTCCTGATGCTGTTATCAGATCTCGCTAACTGCCGACAGCCTATCACCGGCCTGAGTCGCTGGAGTCGTGCTCCAGCACGACTCAGGCCACAGGTGTCAAATCCGTCAGTGCAGATGGAGCCTTTTCGTTATCTGATCCTCCCTTTACCTAACACGTACAACTGGGTATCCAGAGTCCATATTAATGTGGTCCACATCTCATCCCTTCGGTCTTCTTCATCCGACCGTTCCTCCCTTTGCTTTTTGCGTGGGGTGCGGGTTTATCCATGGCTGGTAATCTCCTCCGTAGTAGTATCCGCAATACGAGAATCTACCCGTGTCTCAGCTACGATGGGGTCGGATTTATGGCCACATAAGTGCCCTGACCGTCTTTCTCGTCAGGTCCCTCCATCTCCTCTCTCCCCCTTCTCCCTATGGAAGTGCAAGTCTCAAAAGGACGAATTAGGCTGCCTGTACTATACTCGCAGTGTACTCGGAGTGTAATCTGGAGCAGAGGTCCATTAATGGCTAAAAGGAAAGGCACAAAGGAAATACATGAGGAAAAAAAGGAAAAAGAAAAGGACAAGGGGCAAACATAGGAGACCAAAACCAACAAAACAGCACTGATACTTGAACACGAGGAAGCACCGGAGTATCATTTACATCTTCACCGTCGATGGAATCATGTGGCATAGCCTCGATCTCCAAACCGGCTCATAGCGTCCATGGCGTATAGAGACAACAAGACTTTATTCGTGAGAACGAGGTTGGACGCCCGAGAAAAAAGCAGGTGGTATTAATAGCTGGAAACAACGGCTTCGTCTCAACACAGATAAACCAGGGCCAGGCGAAAGAAAAATCGTCATCCATTCCCAAGCCGATCATGACTGTCGCGCTGTGTAATCGTAGCTTAATGTTTGGTGGCGACAACTAAAAGGAGAAAGCTGTTAGCGCATTCCGGGATGCTTTTCCGAGTCCAGCTTGGTGGAGTGCTAGAGGATAGCGCTGATCTTACCTGCAGGGACGATAATCACAATGAGCAGAATAATGATACAAACGATTAGGCACACGCGCATCTTCATATCCTTCCACCACATTTGCTTCCTCACGCGGTTGGCACCTCTGCGGAATCCCTGCGCTGATGTTGCCAAATTGTCCGTCTTGTCCTGGAGGGAATCTAGACGTTCACCACGTTCTGAAACTTTGAAGATGTTGGAGCGCATTGTGTCAACGGTTTCTTGGATTTTCTAGACAGAAAAGAAACACAGCGTTAGTAAAAGCTTTGCGACAAATGCCATGATAGACACAAGCTAAATAAGATTCAAAAAGACCCGGTGGCCTCCAAGTCCAGTTGAACTCAGATGGAAGTCCAAATGAACACTGGAAAGCCATCATATCCTATTCAACCTGCGCGACATATCCTTGTGGAACGATAAAAGTTGACCGCGAGGCGTTTCGGCAACTTACTTTGTCGATTTCCCGTGTCCTGGGGTCGCCATTTTGCGCAGCGCTGGCGCCGGCGCCAGCCCCATTGGCGCCAGAGGGGATGTAGGGATCATAAGGCTGCTCGGACATGATTCTCGTGCGCGATAGATTCTATGTATTCGGTATTCGGGGGTGTAGGACCTGGCAAGTCACCAGACTACCTAGGTGGAAAGTGACGGGCTGCTGCCTGTTCCTGTTGTAGGGGATGAGGCGGGAAGTCGCAACGACAGACTTGACGGCTGAGGGTACGGTGAAAAGCGAGAAAGGTGGAGGTCGGAGGATGGTGTGGAAGGTGGCGGGATGATGGAATGCAGGAGGGAAAGTAGGATGCGTTATTGAAGGGAAGCTGACAAGGTGTGATGAATCGCCGCCCGCCTTCTGGAGATTACAGGCGTTTCGGTTCGGTCGGGGCGGTTTCACGTGACCAGCGGTCTATTGGGAAGGACGCCCCGGCAGGCAGCTATTATTATTTTGTGCTTAGTGGTGAGACCCAATTGGACCAGCCGCTAGGATGGAAACAAAGAGAAGAGAGAAAGCTAAAAGGTTGAGTGGCTGTATAGACTGCTGTTACTTTGTTTCTATTGACTACTACTACAGCCCACGTAGGAAAGGAGAGGATACCTTGTCAATATCCACCTACTTCACATGGAAATGGAAGAACTAGGGAGTACTACAACTGTCAATAAAGTCGATATATGCACTGCATGCAGTAGGAAGGCTCAGGTTTGCTCACAAATCTTGTAAAGAGAGCAATACAGACAGAAATAGCAACACCAGTTGTCCGTTCATTGGGCAGCTTTACTACCCAGTGTATAAAGTATGGCAACGGTCTGCCCGACCTCATGCGTTGCTTAAGAAACACGCCCTACTATGTGGCGGTGCGTCCTCTGTAGCATACTGCGCCTTCCATCACATGCATCACGTGGCAATCCTGCCTAAAAGGGTATGGACTGTGGAGCCTTCATCCATTAATCTAGATAATGGATACGATAAGGACTTGGTTGCCAGAAGAATCCTGCCAACTTTTGCATTCTTCGTCCTGCAGGCTATTTGTTTGGCCTATGCCATTATTTCTACTTTGATTGACATAACTGCTGTTAGTCTCATGCTTCTTTCCCCCTTTACAGATGAGCGATATCATGAAGGTTACTGGGAACAGTTTACTCTCAATCCCAAAACCCGTTGTTCTTAGTGATGCCTTCTTTCATAGGAGGCAGTTGGCCGTTCAATGTGCTATGTGGGTATCAGCAATAGACACAACAACGCTCTAAATCGCCGCTTAATTGATGGATGCGGCAATTGTCCGAACGGACACCTGCAGGCCTACAGCCGCAACAAGTATATGAGCGATTTACACAACATTTTTAGCACAGAAGCCGTTGATATGGATTGTCGCAGCATGAATGGTCAAACAGCTCATGCGTCGGCGGAAGAGCTCTCGGATGCGAGGTCGTCAGACTCACTAGAGATGCTCATCCGCTACGAAATTCAATTATATTGCGTGGCCAACTCATCCCAAGCCAGAGAAATTTGGTATATATCGTAAAAGTACCATCTAGAGGCGTTCATCCTTCTATGCAACGGAAGTAAGATAAATAGAGCCACCAGCGATCTTATCGATAAACGTTGACTGGAGTTGATCTGGACATCAGTTATTTTCTGTCCAGCCTATGAAGATGGTCATGCGCCTAAGTACGGCCTCGGCAAACGTGCATTTGGTTGTGCTGTGCTACTCCAACTCATATAGAGGCCCTTGTTGTTCCAAATCTGCGCCAGCGGCACGCCCGCGAAGTTCGGTCTCACCAAATAAAGATTTGTATGCAACCATATTGAATGGCGCTTTGATCTTCTGGCCGATTAACGCTTCTATTCTTACCCGAGCAGCAACGAATAATCCCGACATCATGCCAGGTCGTCACCACCAATACAACATATTCGGCTGTCTGTAGGCGTATTCCGATGAACGGGAATGGCATCATAGGCACAATATACAATGCAAGCGTAGGATTTCCATTCAGTCGTTGAAATATAATACAGTATAGACCATAGCCTCCGAAACTCCACAAACTCTAAGCCGAATGCTTTCCCCCTCAATGCTTTTGGTCAAGTCTCAGGTAGACGCAAAGGGTATAAATACAAAGACGATGCAGGAGTCAACGGTCCTTCCTAGCATCATGTTCGATCCAGCACCTTTCCAGCGAAAAGAAAAGGGCCAGTCACTGCAGAATCGCTCCAGTGGAGACGCATCGCTGCGACAAGCTTATTTCTCACCCAGCAGTTCCTTTCTCATCTCCTCACGTTGTACCTTAGCATCGTCCCTGGCCTGGTTCCGTTGTACCTCAGCCTCCACGCGCTTCTGTTCCTGTTGTTCCTGAGCCGCGTACCAAACTATTCAAACCATGACATCAGTATAACTGCTCACAAACATGCAAGACATGAGGTGGAAGACAGGAAGGGGCCATAACGCACTCGACTTGTCGGACTTGGACCATTGCTTCAACCGGGTAACATATTCATCAAATTCCCGAGCTCGGCGATCACCTTCCTCCAGACTCCGCTTCTGAAGATCGGGGTTGTAACGCTTGAACAATTCTTCATCGGTAGGACGGATGTATTGGACGAATGCCGGACCGCCGACACAGATGACGATGCCGCTAATTATCCGTTAGAAATCGCGCGGCAAGCACGGAAGAGGTGGGAGTGGATGCGCCTTACACGCCGAGCATCTTCATCCAAGTTCCTGCCCGAGACATGGTGAGGATTTTCTGGAGACGATTGGTTGGTTGAGACGACGAGTGATGTAAGGCAGGTAAGTTCGCCTGCTGTAAATGGCTAAAATCGAGGTAGGTTGATGTCTTTGTTGAATCCACAGCCACAAAGGGGAAGCGTCCGGGTAGTGCGTCTGCTCATCAATCGGGATCTCATCAACATCATCATCGTAATCACGCACACGGGATTCGGCAGCGCCGATCCATATATGTGGCGCAGCAGTGGAGGCTAATGCAGGTGGCGCATGCTGTGGCCGTTACTTAATGTAACCAATTAGGGAAGCGAACTAGAATTCGGGCTGACTTCCTTTTTGCTGGCACTCCCGAAGGGAAAAGTTCTGCTGCTCCACTCACTATGTCACTAGAACAACACTATCAGATTTTGTGCGAATGAGCGGCTGATTCCTAGTAGCGGGGAAAACCGCAGAGATTCTCTCTTCGTCTGTTCTGTCGAATGGTTTGCTGTGACGTCTGAATGTCTTAGACATCGGTCCGCTCGGCATTGATATGTCTATTTCTAAATATAATCACAGAGAAGAGTAGGATGTCGGTAAAACTGCTTCATTGGTGAAAACTTGCGAGGTATGAAGAATTACTTACTCGTTTGGGTCTTGTGCAGCTCCATTCCAGGCGTGGGACTTTAACCGCAGGTGCAGCTGATCATTATCTTAACTTAGGAAGTCTATTAGTCAAATGCTTTTACTAGGAATAAAATATTTTGCGTTGTTCAAATAACGTGCATTCTCATTTGCAGAAGTGTTATGCGGATAGATAGAGTACATTCGCCCAGACGCAAGGTCTGCTAAAGTCCACGTTGGTATCTTTCGATGCGACATATCTGATACGTCAACGCGGCAGGGGTAACTACTAATATACCTGTTATGGCGAGAAATGCGCTTGGTCAATGGACTGGTTTTAAGGCCGTAAATTGTGTTGGAGCATTTAGAGATTTGTACCCCATAAGGCTCAACGAGCCACTTGGCACTACTCCGTACCAGAGCCTGGGGATAGGTTTATGTAAGATAGGTTGATGATCGATAACATCATAGGCTGATGGACGGACTCCGAGTGTGCATCCTTCATTGTAATTCGACGCATGGGGCTATGTCGTATTCGTATTAAGCCAATAGAATTGCAGCGCCTAAGTTTCAAACGGAGATTGCGCTGGAGTTTGATCCATAATGACCACTGTCATTGTACTAAACTAGGGCCCCTCCAAAGATTAACTGCTTACTGACTATCCATTGGCACGAATCTTGAAGACCCCTGATGATCAAAGGACTCAAGGCCTTGCAGCGGGTTTGTAGGTGATGGGCAAATTATTGCTGTTCGAAAGATTCGGGTACGGTTGATCTTGTGTCTCAGGGGTCAATAGCCTGGAGAGGATATCCAACGTCATTTCCTAGATGGGTATCTTGGGTAGCGCCGTGCCAAGCAGTTATCAGACTCCAACGGTTTCTGAATCTGTAGTTGAAGGAGGGTTAGTCGGGCATGCTGGGAGGAGTAGTGGTTGACTTCACGGTGGACTGGGACAGATACCCACTGTCGAGACATGGCACCAGTGCCACAAAGTCCCTCTTTAATGTCCTTCACCCAGGTTCCAATGCCATGACTCCTGCTGCCACTAGACTGAATGGGGTTGGGGACGGAGGAAGAGATCCGTTTTGTACCGGCAAGAAGTGGGACACCGATATCTAACTCTGACCAGCGACAGTATCCCGGCGGGACGGGCGTGGGTCAGTTCAGAAGAACCGTTCCAAAGTGTCAGTAGCCGACCAGTGAGTAGTTGAGTAGTTGAGTGGGTGCACGAACAGTTCAGTCATGCATTATGGGTATTTCGCTAGGGAGTCGCGCAGGGTTGATCAGAGACAAAGAAGAGGCATTCATAAGCGTTTCATCGTCGAGGTCAATCAATCAATTAAATCAACAAGAATAAGAATAATCCCTTGTGTTGTCGCTCCCACTTTTTCTTTTTGATCACTAAACGATCGCATTTTCCTTCTTCTCCAGTCTTGACAGTAGGGGAGTTTTAAATTCACGGGTGGCTTTTCTTTCCCCTCTCCATCCAGTCAGACTACTTTACCCGTCAGGTACTCCGGACTCCGTCCCTATTCCTCGACGACCCAAAGACTTATCATCGCCTTTACCTCCCCCGTCAACCTCCACCCCCTCCGTCGCTATTTTAAAAATTCCTCCTTCCTCGGGGGTCACACGCTCTTTATCTTCTCACAAAGGTCATTCTTCCTTTGCCATCTTTGTAGCTAGCTTTCTTTTCTGCTCCGGTCCCGCATTCCTTCATTCCTGGCGGGGGGTAAGGTTATCCCTCGTGTTCTGGTGAGTTGGTCCGGCTTCGCGCATTCGCCGTGCGATCGCGCCCTCCGCTTCTGCAGTCACTTGCGCCTTCGATTCGACCGCTGACAGCATTCCTTGTCCTTTCGCTAGGAGACTTCACCCTCGCGCTGGTCTTTCTTCATGGTCTAATGGCTGCATATATCGCATGGAACTGTTGAATCCTATTCCCGGTGTCACTTTTTTCCGCAGATCTACCTAGCTTCCAGTAAGCTAAGCGCCCCTTCAACTACTACCAGGGTCTAGCAGCATTTTTGCCTTATGTACATTTGTCTCACTGGCTGACCTCCCATTGGTGTAGATAGTGAAAGGGGGGGCGTGAGCATTGTCTACTAGTGGACTGATTGTTCCCCGCGCTTCCAACCCGGATACAGACGCCGCAATCGTTTGTTCAAAAGCCCGCATCGACTCCTTTCCCTTGTACAGTTCGCAAGATTACTGTTGGCGTAATGGCATACCCTCAGCATCCAGCGCAAAGGGCGCCTCCGGTGCGAAACTATGGTCCCGGCGCTCCTCCCACCCGGGGCGGGGCCTTTCAGGGTCCGCCGCCAAACGGACATTATGATTATGGCTATGACAACCAACACTATGGATACAGTGAGGGTCCTCAAGGTTCAGGACGCGGTTATCCCGGTGATAGCGCAGTCCCACGGTCTTATGGGCCTCCACCAGGAGCACCGCGGCCTCCACGTGGTGGCTATGGGCCCCCGATGGAGTCCCGTGGATATGCATATCGTGGACGCCCACCACCGACGCAGGGATATGATGGCCGTCGTGGCTACGGGGACAGACCACCTCCACAGATGAGACGGCGTGAGTCTAAACGAGAATCATTTCCCTGGAACGTGCCGTTGACTTGATCTAGCTGCTCGTCCGCCGCAATCTCCTGATAAGATGGCATTTGACAATCCTTTTCCATCTTTCCCAACGAAAGACCCGCGCGGACCAAGAAGTATCGAGGGCGAGATGGCCGCAATGAACCTCAATGGCGGTCCAGTGCCCCCTTCGCAGGTGCCGGATCGTCCGCATACCTCGCACGGTAGACGGCCACCCAGGCCTGTATCCCCTGGCCGTGGTAGAAACAACTACCCCGCCGCTCCTGTGCGATCAGCAAGTACTGGTCGTCCGGCAGCTTCGTCTGTTCGAAGCGACAGACCGTATACCGATCCTAACGACCCGCCGCCCGTACCACACGTCAATCGAAGCGCTACCATGCCGGTTCAGCCGACCATGTCACCTCCACCGCCCAAGCCTCTGTACCCGGGACAATCAACCTACCAAGATCCCTACTCTCACCCGCAACCGGGTCCGCATGAGCATTTCGATACTGAGGCATGGGTGGATAGTTATTATAACTCGGCTCATGCTGGTGAGAGTGACATGCCCAACTTTGATGCGATGCCGGACCCCGCAAAGGGCGGAGTGATCGATGAAAGCTTGCCCGGCCTTGAGCAGCCGAGGGCCAAGGCACCCATCGAGTCTCCACCCTCGTCTCGTGGAGGATACACCGCGTTCAACCCTCATGCAGCGGGCGATCCTTATCCGCAGTCTCCAGTGGAAGCCAGGGGCGCAGCTGTGCCAAATCAGTTCGCAAATGCAGGCTTCCAGTTCGACCTGCCAAATGAGGGCCCACCAATTCAGCCTGTCTATACTCAGGCCAGTGCTGGATATGGTTATAATCCGCATCCCTACGAGGAGCCCCACCCTCAAGATCAGGGGAACTGGGGCGCTGGAATGCCAGCTTATCCCGAATCCAATAGCGGCTATCCTGTCCCAGAACCTTCTGTCCGGAACAATGGGCCGCCTCGCCCCTACAGGCCCAACCAACAGACGCCTGTAACTGAGCCGGCACCAGCGGTGAACCAGCCCGAAGCTCTGGATCCCCAAAAGAACCCCGACGCTCTTCCCCACCACCCCGTTCCTTTCCGCCCGGGCCACGATCAGGCAAGCAAACCTGCACCAGTACGGCAATATAACAACGTCAATGCATCGGCTCCTCCTCCTGCTGCTGCTTCCCCACCGCAAGCCGCTCCTGTAGAACCAGCTGCATCCGGTCCCGTCACTCAGCAAGAGCTCCAAAGCCTTCAGCAGATGGCCAAAAGTAGGCCGTCAGACAACAAGACCCAGCTTCTACTTGCGAAGAAGTTGGTTGAAGCTTCGACAGTTCTGGTTGAAAGCAGTCGGATGGATCCTAAGACCAAAGCAAAAGCCCGTGAGAGGTATGTCATGGATGGTTACAAGATCGTCAAGAAGCTGGCATCCAGTGGATACGCGGATGCGCAATTCTTTCTCGCGGACTGTTATGGCTCAGGACAGATGGGCCTTCAAGTGGATCCTAAGGAAGCTTACAGCCTATACCACTCCGCTGCTAAGTCAGGGCACGCTCAGTCTGCTTACCGAGTCGCTGTATGCTGCGAGATAGGACAAGAAGAAGGCGGAGGCACTAAACGCGACCCCTTCAAGGCAGTACAATGGTACAAGCGCGCTGCATCCTTGGGAGACCCGCCTGCGATGTACAAGATGGGAATGATCTTGCTCAAAGGCCTTCTCGGGCAAGCCAAGAATCCTCGTGAAGGTATCTCTTGGCTAAAGCGTGCCGCAGATCGTGCCGATGCCGAGAACCCACATGCCCTTCATGAGCTTGCTCTCATGTACGCAAATGCTGGACCCAATGATGTCGTAGTTCGGGATGAAGCCTACGCAAGCCAACTGTTCCACCAGGCTGCCGAATTGGGTTACAAGTTCTCTCAGTTCCGCTTGGGATCTGCGTATGAGTACGGCTTGATGGGATGCCCTGTCGACTTCCGGCAGAGTATCATTTGGTACACTCATGCTGCGGCCCAAGGGGAGCACCAGAGTGAACTTGCTCTCAGTGGATGGTACCTTACCGGAGCGGAGGGTATCCTCCAGCAGAGTGACACGGAAGCCTATCTCTGGGCGCGCAAGGCTGCGACTGCCGGTCTCGCCAAAGCAGAATACGCGATGGGTTATTTCACCGAAGTCGGTATCGGTGTAGCTGCCAACTTGGACGATGCGAAGAGATGGTACTGGCGGGCAGCTGGTGAGTCTATCTACTCTCTCAAACACTGTCTATCTGCTAATGTGACTTTACTACAGCACAACAATTTCCCAAAGCTCGTGAGCGTCTCGAGGAGATCAAGCAGGGCGGCGCTCGGATGCAAAAGACCCGACTGTCCCGATCTGCTGTCAATCAACAGAAGCAGAACGAAGGCGATTGTGTCATCATGTGAATGAGCATGGGAACTGGATGGTGAAAAGTCTGGGGGGATGTTTCTGTTTTCGTTCTACCAGTTTAATACTCTTTTTTGGATCCGTCTGCCAGTGTATTTTGATCGCTGGCGAATGATTATACCCAACCTAACGAGCTGGAGCTGGATTACTATGATGTATGCATTTTCTGGCCTGGGAGAACTTCACTGGGAATGATTGATGAATTGGGCAGGTCAATCTGGATTGTACCGTACCGCATCGTCAACTCCCATGGTTATTTTGCTTAGACTAGACACCGCATGATGATGCTGTTTTATAATACCTTAATGAACCTGCTTCTATGGACATACCGTAATACCTTAATAGTGACATATATATTCATACTATTCATGCTCTCTAGGAAGTAGAAAATCCCGCGGCGCAATTCCGCACTTCCGACGGCGGATAGCGCCTCCTCCCGATCGGATCGCTAATGATTACAATATCGCCCTCCCTCATCAAATCACACCACCAAACCACATTCTAACCCCGAAGACCCTGCATAATAATCACAAATCATTAAGAATCCTTCCGTGAAACACAAAGAAGGTCCTTCTGCACCCTTCCATGCATCATTCCCTCCCCTCCTTTATCTACCCTACCCCAATCCGCAGAAAATACCCGCACCTGACTTGAACCGGGAAGATTCCGAATCCTTCCTATAGATATCTATGTCTTCTGCCCCCGTTCCGCCATCCTCCGCATCATCTCAGAACACCAGTGACACAAGCACCCCAAAACAAAAACCAATCCTGGCGGTCTTATCGGTGATTACTCTGCTGATTGCGATTGCTATCGCTGGCTTTTGGGGGTATACGGGAAGTACTACTGCTACGGACGACGCCAATCTGTTCGGTCTTAGACGATTTTTTGGTGCGGGTGGTAGGGCTGCTTCTGCTTCGCGGGGGTTTGCTGCTAGTACTTCTACTACTACCAGTGGTCGTGTTCTGGATAAAGTGAAGAAGTTGGGAGAAGGAGTTGAAGATCGAGTTACTATGGCGAGGACACCGGTTTATTTTTTGAGCCATGGTGGGGTGGGTTTTTTATCTTCTCCGTTTTGTTGCTTTTGTATGATTTGGGGCGGGTTGGGATGCTGATTATGCGCAGCCAAATATCATGTATGACCATGAGCACCCGGCGTATCACAAGTTGGGTGAGATTGGGAAGGAAATCACTACTAAGGTGAAGCCGCGCGCGGTGGTGGTTTTCTCGGCTCATTGGCAGGCTGGGAGGGATACTATCCAGGTTAATACGGCGGAGATTACTGATTTGATTTATGAGTATGTTGTCGCATGGAGTCTTTTCTCTAATAGTGGGATTTGAGTGGCCGGCTAACGTTGGGTCTAGCTTTTATGGCTTCCCTAGCCATTACTACAAGGAGAAGTATCCTAATGTTGGAAGTCGGGAGGTTGCGAATAAGGTCCTGGATGCGCTGAGCCAGGCGGGGATTAAGGGTGAGGGGGTGAAGAGAGGACTCGACCATGGTGTGTGGGCGAGTTTCAAGTGCGGTATGTTTGAATCAGATTGGACGATGGTCTGGCTGGGTAACGCTGACTTTTATAGCCTTTGATCCTGAGAAAAACCCTCTGAATGTTCCTGTGGTGCAGGTATCGCTGTTCAAAACGGAGGATCCTATCCAGCATTACCGACTGGGTCAGGCGGTTTCGAGACTCCGTGAGGAGAACATCTTGATCATTGTCTCCGGTATGGCGGTGCATAACCTGCGCGATATGCAATTCACCTGGGGTGACCCGCGGCCTTTGCCGTATACTGCCAGCTTCGATGAAGCTCTGAAGGAGGCCGTCACAAAAGCACCGGCGGAGCGAGAACAGGCTATGGCAGATTTGCTGAAACGTCCGGATGCTCGGCAGGCCCACCCGTACTTCGATCATCTGCTTCCGATTCATATTGGAGCCGGAGCTGCGGGCGATGATGTTGGGAGGAGACTGTGGACCTTGAAGGAGGGAAGCATGAGTTGGGCGCAGTATAGATTCGGCGAGATTGCCAACAGTACTAGTTCTTTGTAGAGTGAAGAGCGAACAATGGAATCGTGTAAATATTGACTGGGTTATCACGGCGAACGACTTTCATTTCATCTATAGATACAGTGCAAATTGGAAATGCGGTGCATGAACATATACGGACGCGTCGTGATTTCGCTATGAAGACGCCTTCACCAACTGAGTGATCTTCTCTTCGATCTGCTGATCCGTCAAGCCTGGGGGAATAGCATGGTCAGTTTTGCCTTTATATTCTCCGCTCAAGAATCTTACCGGTCAGAGCTTCCTGCTTCTCTTGGCCGAAAGCTGCGAGATTATTAGCCATGCAATCATCCACCATTGGTGTCGTTTCGAGAACTTTGTCGTACCGTATCTGGCGTACACCCTAGGCACAGTACCAGCTGCCTCGCGCATCAGGATGGGGGTGTAAGGGTTGTGCTTCTTCATGGTCGGGTATGCGCGCTGCAAGAACGAGCTACAGATACCAGTTGTCAGCAACTCCCTAGAATAATAGCAAATGGATACATTGGAGACTCACCGAGTAGCAGCACTAGCCTGAGAGGTCTGGCAGAAAAGGAAGCGCAGCTCCTTCAGACCCTTGGTGAAGACGTACTTGGACGACATTGTGGGGGAAGATCGTGATAGACGGGAGGACCGGAGTTCGCAACGAAAGTCAACAACAAAAATTAGCCCCGTAAAAATCGGCACAGGGTATCAATTGGGGGCGACGGAGGGGTCAGGGACCGATAATGGGAGCTTGAAGCTGATCACAGGGACTCTGGGGGAGGAGACGATGAATTGATTCCCGCTGGAGGTTCTGAGCCCGTACAGACCAATCCGGTCAAGCGTGATTGTCACCGCTTACCTCAGCCGGAAAAGAGCCGCAACCCCCAACGGAAGGCCGACCTCGGGGCCGCTGGGACTCACTCTTCCCTTCGTCATTTTACCAAGACTCCATTCTCAAATTCCCCCGACTGGTCGCCTGTAGCTGTTGTTGCGCACGGCGTGTATTGATCATCTCCACTCTCTTCTTCAATTGGACTGACCCTCGTCCTTTTCTCTCCGGTTTTGTACCCTCTGACCGCCGTCCTTGATTCGTCCCCGTTCTCGCCTTATCCGCGCCATACAAAATCACCATGTCGTCCTCCCGTGTTGGTCTTCGTTTCTTCCAGAACACCAGAGCTGCTTTCCGCAACGCATATGGCCCTTTCCGTCGGCCTGGTGCCCAGGGCTTCCGCTTCCAGAGCTCCGATGCTGCGGCCGCTGAGCAACAGAGCACTTTCCAGCGTCTATGGAACAGCCCGGTCGGTGTGAAGACGGTGCATTTCTGGTGAGTCTAGACTCGGATATTATGCTACTGCATTTGCTTTTTCCTTCTATCATGTGAATGTTTGCGTTGTATTGTATTCTAACATTGATGTGTCATAGGGCCCCCGTTATGAAGGTACGAAACCATGCACCGTGCTGAAACCCGTTCCTCGATCCAACTTCTTTGATTCGCGATAATCTTCCTACTATATCTATGTGCTGTTCGACTGACTCAATCAGTGGGCTCTTGTCATCGCCGGTATCTCCGACTTTAGCCGCCCTGCCGAGAAGCTGTCCCTTACTCAGAACGGTGCCTTGATGGCCACTGGTTGCATTTGGACTCGCTGGTGCATGATCATCACCCCCAAGAACTACCTGTACGCACACCAACCCCGATCTATGAATATTGTGGGAAAGAATACTGACTGGCTAGGCTCGCTGCTGTCAACTTCTTCCTCGGATGTGTCGGTGTTGTCCAGGTTGGCCGCATCATCAACTACCGCCGTAGCGTTGATGGCTCGACCACCGCCGCCGTGAAGGATCTGGAACAGGAGGTGGCCGACGACGCCAAGGCCGTTGCTACTCAGGCGAAGGCTGCAGTCGAGAAGTCTACCTAAACAACTCTTATTCATTGACAAGGATTGCGTAAAGAGCAGCCTAAGCGACAATAGATTGTCTTGGCATTGGTGAGTAGGCTCATAGAGCATATTATGAGATGAAGTTGGCTGGAGGCGACTCCGACTTATATATGTACATATTCCCTTATAAATTGCATCGACATTCCTCTTTGCTTGTCAGTGTTGTAGACCAATGAAACCATTGAGATCGGCTTATGTGATCCTGAAATGGAGATACTGAGACTCTTTGGTGACTTTCTCACAGTATAAAGCTTACTTGGTTGAAGCTGAGCAGCTGTTGGCCTCTTAAATGGCGTCTTCATGGTGGTGTATATTGTCCGTGAGTATTGTACCACACGGAGTTTGCACTAACCTGCACTTACCGCAAGTTTCGGGATTTGGCCTGCGCGACAATATCAGCTAACCGGGATCAATGAATAACCGGATAATGTTTTCATTGAAAATGAAGTCATGATGCAGAGAATGGCTGGGGTAAGTCCCCTGCCAATTCCCCAGACATACGTTTTTCCCCCAATCGGATAATCGTCGCCGACAAGCCCTCCTATCACATCGTCTCTCGTTGTTCCTCCACGCAATCCCCCACCACCTCATTCTCCCGCAGCTAACTGTCCCCAAGTGCCCCTGTTGATTACAGGAGCAAGCCACAAGCTTAGCATAGCTCCACCGTCGTGGTTTGTTCGCTTTGTTTGGTTGATTTCGTTTCCCCGGATATGGAGCACAGCGAACTCCCCAACTTGAAGGATCAGTGGTGTGGTCAGTGTGGGCAAGACTGCGGGGAGATGATGCCTACTCGATGCAATGGATATAAATTCCAGAGGCGACCGTCATTCCTTTGCATTGACTTTGTTCAAGCTCCGCTCGTGAAACCGGACTTGTCACCTGTCAATCTCTCACAATGAGACTCACGCACGTTCTCTCTCACACGCTTGGCCTTCTTGCGCTAGGAGCAACAGCAGAAGCTTTCTCCCGGTCCAGAGAAGCCGCCTGCAGCCCAAAAAAGCCTTTCCGGCCGCTACCTACAAGCTCGAGCAGGGACAAGACCTGCCATGTCCGCAGCCATGGTGACGGCAGTGACGACTCTGATTACATCCTCTCCGCACTGCACCAATGTAACCACGGTGGAAAGGTTGTTTTCGATGAGGACAAGGAGTACATTATCGGCACAGCATTGAATATGACCTTCCTGAAGAACATTGACCTAGGTGCCTATTCTGCAGATCCATCGATCGTCAAGCTGAACATTGACTAACGCTTATGGTTCAACAGAGGTCCTCGGAACGATCTTATTCACCAACGATACAGACTACTGGCAAGCCAACTCCTTCAAACAAGGCTTTCAGAATGCCACGACCTTTTTCCAGCTCGGTGGTGAAGATGTGAACATGTACGGTGGTGGTACCATCAATGGCAACGGACAGGTCTGGTATGATCTGTATGCGGAAGATGATCTCATTCTGCGTCCCATCTTGATGGGCATCATCGGGTTGAATGGAGGCACAATCGGTCCGTTGAAGTTGCGGTACTCGCCGCAGTACTACCACTTCGTGGCTAATTCGTCGAATGTCCTCTTTGATGGGATTGACATTTCGGGTTATAGTAAGAGCGATAACGAGGCGAAGAACACCGATGGATGGTGCGTTTCTATACCCAATATTGCCTTGAGTGTTATACTAATCCGTCGTTCTGTAGGGATACCTATCGCTCGAACAATATCGTCATCCAGAACTCGGTGATCAACAACGGTGATGGTAAGTCCAACCTGAAGAAGCGTTATGTCCCAACAATTCTAACCTACAAAGACTGCGTCTCCTTCAAGCCAAACAGCACCAACATTCTCGTTCAGAATCTTCACTGCAATGGCTCCCACGGCATTTCCGTTGGCTCTCTCGGCCAATACAAGGACGAGGTTGACATCGTTGAGAATGTTTATGTGTACAACATCTCCATGTTCAATGCTTCGGTGTGTCTGACTCTAACATGCATATACATTTCTTACTAACTTGTTTTGCAGGACATGGCCCGCATCAAGGTTTGGCCTGGTACTCCATCTGCACTATCTGCCGATCTTCAAGGCGGCGGTGGCTCGGGCAGCGTAAAGAACATCACCTACGACACCGCACTCATTGATAATGTCGACTGGGCTATTGAAATCACACAGTGCTATGGGCAGAAAAATACTACCTTGTGCAACGAGTACCCGGTTAGTAGACCTTTCAACCGCTTCCCGTGAAGTATTTCTAACATGCAAGCAGAGCTCTCTCACCATTTCAGACGTCCACATCAAGAACTTCCGCGGAACGACGTCGGGATCCGAAGATCCCTATGTTGGAACAATTGTCTGTTCAAGTCCTGATGTAGGTGCCCAGTAGTATAGGCGTCTGGTGCGCAATAGGCTGACACTCGATAGACCTGCTCGGACATCTATACGTCTAATATCAATGTGACAAGCCCGGATGGAACCAACGACTTTGTTTGCGATAATGTGAGTCCTTAGATCAAAGCCAGGTGGAGATCATGGCTAATGCTGTCCAGGTCGATGAGAGTCTTCTGAGTGTCAACTGTACCGCCACTTCTGACTGAATTAAGATGCTTGTTATTACGCGCTGGAAGTCAGGCTTTACTTAGACGGATGAAAAACGTGTATATATTACATTAGGGCTCGACTTTGTATATACGTGAACGAATGCCTACTGTCTGCTTTTGACTTAAGGAAGGTCAGGCGACAAGAAGCTTTTGGTTCAAACTTTGGTTTTGGTTCTTACTAGACACTCCTGCTTTGTGCATGCGATACGTCACATCCGAGGGAAAGATCAAAGTTATATTTGCAGAGTACAGTCTCCTGGATGGCGTTGCGCTGACTGTCCAGAATACTACTCTTCTGCATTTACCTGCTGTACATCTAACAAACAAGCAACCAGCACAGCCACCTACCAAGTGTAGTAGAATATACAGCGCTCCGATGAGGTCATGTAGACAATACTAGAGCCATGAAAATGTGAGTTGCGAACCATATTTAAATGCTAAGTAATCTTAAGTCTTGCAGCCAGACTTAGAACCGAAGTCTCTTCTCACACGAACTCTCGGCTGATGATCGTGATCTCCTTAAAAGCACACAACCAGCGGATCACATAGCTGGGCAGCTGACAACCTTACGCACACCTTTACTTTGGAACCAAGTGGCAATAATTCATCTTCATTCCTGGTGCGTCATACACCTCCTGCAGGGTTGGGTACTATGAGAGATTAGACATATCCTAGGTGAGTCTGTTACTCAGCTTCCCTGAGAGAAGCCCGAAGTATGGTAGCTTGGACAGTTCAACGGGGTCAAGCTCAGGATGGCTTGATTTTCGTTGTATTGCCACTGGTTAGATGCGGTAAGAACCTCTACTTACGAGACTTTCCCAACCCAACATAGCTACCATTGTCTTTATCTGGACCAAGTGACATCGACGAATGTGTCGACGTGTAAGTACTGCGAGTTGGGAGTGTCATTGTGATACATCCAATCATGATCGACATACCGACTATCCAGCCAGTGTCAATTGACGTATCACCGATCTGTGGGGTTTAAATAACTGGGATCATGGATTAAAATTCTGATCGTTCCTTTACACCTTTACACAACCCAAGTGCTATTCCATCAAGATGCCATACGATATCAAAGATCTATTCAATGTGCGCGGCCTAGTTGCCGTCATCACTGGCGGGAGCTCCGGTATGTGTCGCGGTCACTCTTTGAATCCTCCAAACATATAGCTGATGATGCTACTATTGCAGGTCTGGGTAAGACGATGGCTCTCGCCCTCGCTACCAATGGAGCCAGCAGAGTCTATATCCTGGGCCGCCACAAAGAGACTCTCGAAGATACAGCCGACTTGCATCCCGGCATTATTATCCCTATCGTCGCTGATGTGGGCTCAAAGGCCTCTCTTGCTGCCGCTGCCGATCAAATTCATACGGAAACTGGGTACATCAACCTCCTCGTCGCAAATGCAGGAATGCTCTATATGGATACGCCAGAAGCCATCAGTGTAAAGGTCGGTCGCTCTTTACAGGAGAATGCGACCCCTGATGAGTTGGAATCGTTCCTCATGGATACTCCGGTCGACGAATTCTTGGACACGTTCCGGGTAAACACAACAGGGGTATTTTACACCATTGCGGCCTTTGTATCATTATTGGATAAGGGCAACAAGCGAGGAAATGTCTTTCAAAAGAGCCAAGTGATTGCTGTGAGCAGTGTAGCAGCACATAACCGGAGGGTGGTTGGAGGTTGTGCATACGGGATGAGTAAGGCTGCTGTAATCATGTTAATGAAGAAGATGATGACATACTTGATTCCTCACGGGATTCGGGCAAACACAATTTCTCCTGGCCGTGAGTATTTCCATCTGCATTTCGAAGTTAGGTACTGATTGGACCAGTGTTCCCAAGCAATCTGTGTGGAAACCCAGCCAATGAAGAGATCTCGATTGAAGGCGCGTTTGACCGAGAGTTCATTCCACTGCAAAGAGCAGGGAGGCGCGAGGAGATTGCTGGAACTATTCTGTATCTGGCCAGCAAGGCAGGCGGGTATGTAAATGGGGATTTGCATCTGATTGATGGGGGCATGGCAGGATGCAGCAGTTGATTTCAATGCCGTGCGGGGTTCTCTTTTCTCAAGTTCAAATGGTGTTTAATTTGTTCGGGGTCAGCTGTATTGGCCAACAAGATATGGGTTTTGCATAGCCAGGCTGGGGGGTCGGGGTTATATATATATACTACTATATCTTAATCTAGAATGTTAATCTAATTGATTCGACCCTACTAGCGAACACCGAATACTGGTGTGTACACAATTCATGACGCCGTGCTTCACAAATAATAGGTAAATGTGATACTGCAGTGACACCATCGACATCATTTCCCTGCAGTCAGTACAGGGTATCAAGCTGGGCCATATAGCGAGTATAACACAACATCCATAGTAGTCCACTGATTCAAGCCCCAGCCTCCTGTATTCCCGGATTAGGAGCACCCATCCGGGCTGTGCCACTTACCGATTTGAATCACCATGTTTGCCAAGCTTGATGGTCACACCAAGCCTTCCACAGCTGTTTAAAATGACCATTTGCCTCTCAGGAGCTGGAGTGGGGATGTGGCGATGCCAATGCTACTAGTGGTTGTGGCTGTTCAGGTCCGCTCTATATTTTTAGAATGTGGCTGGAGCTACGCAGTTTCAGCTTACCCGATATGACTGATATCATTTTACTGCCCCAGGCATGAGTGGAAGGAACAGCATGATGATGAATCCTCTGCTACGAGTAAGTATTCCCTCAGTAACTAATACAAGGATTCCCCCAATTTTAGGATCTTGGACTCAAGTATAGTAGTGAATAAATGTAGACTATTGAAAAGTCACGCGCCCGTCTTGCCCGGCCCACTCGATCCCTGTGCGGATCATTCCATCATTCCGTCTCTCCCTCCAAGCCCGATCCTTTCAAAGTCCAACGGTACTGGTACTCGGGCGGGGCCCGAACCTCCAGCTTTGTTTGTCTACTACCACTATACTATTACCCTCGTAGATATCCAGATTGAAGGTAATAACAATGAAAGCATCATATTCCCCCCAAAAAGCAATTAACCCAACACAGCAGAACCTTCCAGCAATTAATAAGGTCTGCTGCCTACTGTGAGTCGTGAAGCCCCACCACATCCACAATCCACCCCTCTTTTTTATCTTTTAAGAAAATCGACCCACCCAAGCTGCTGCAGGGTGACTTCACCAGCAGCAGTCCCGCGTCCCAGGGTCTCCATTCATTCCACTGTAGGAAGTTAGATGATTAGTTAGTTTTCCTTAGTAGTGAGTAGGGCAGCAATGCTTGCGATCTTCCCCTTATATAAACCTTCGTAATGACCCCTCTGCTCTCTTCCTTGCTCAACTTTTCTTTCATCCCAAACCCCCACCTCACTTTACCCCCTTTCCTCTCCTCCAACCTTCATAAGAGAAAATTAAGTTACTACCAAAATGTCCTTCCACAACAGCTGCCAAAACATCCACCTCATTCACGAACCCGGTGCTACTTTCCTGCACGCCGAAGTGCGTCGCGCGAATGGAGAGTACGTGGCTCGCAAGATCCGTCTTGATAGACATATTGGAAATACGGATGGTATGTCCTTCCTTTCTTTCCCTTATCCCCCACTCTTTTCTTTCCCCCTTATTTTCATCTTAGAGCATGAAAAGTCACACAAGTATAAAAATTGATATTGATATGGATACTGACTGACTCTGGGATTTGATGTAGGCTGGTTCATCTGGGGCGGCTCCAACTTCACCGAAACCGCCAAGGACATTCAGCTCGAGAACACCGGCCGCGGTCCCAAGTTGACGGCGTACTTGAGGAAGCGGGATGGCGGATACAGAGAATTGCAGGGCCTGTATCTGGCGGATAAGATTGCTAATGAGAATGGAGAGTTGGTGTTCAAGGTATGTATTATCCTTTCTTACATTTTATTGTTGGGTGTTTTATGATTGGGAAGATTGAATGTGGGCTGACGTGGTGGGGTTTGTCGTTGTTGTAGGGACCTTAGATATATTCGACCTACTTATCTATCAGGTAGAATGAAGTACTAGAAGAGATAACCAATAGGAAAGGATGGACGGATGGGGTTGTTTGTATGATTGGAGATATTGCATAGCGAATGATAATCATTTTTTATTATTATTATTTCTATCAATATGCCAAAAGATCATTGATAGGACCTACAGAACTGGTAGAAGAGAGGGAGAGAGAGAGAGAGACTACTTACTAGGTAAATGTAAATATACCCAAAGAGGGGCAAGGCACTGTTTATTTCCCCCTTACGGAATGTTGCAGCCATTGCCACATACTACATGCATATGATGTGCTGTCCTGGTTGGTTATTGTTCAGCGAGCATGGTGGGCTGTGCTTACTGCGTGCGTACGTAAGTTGGCACTCGTGAGCTGATTGAATAGTTACAGGTCGTGCTACGTTTTTTGTTTAGGGGGGAGATAATTGCTTGTCGTGATGAGGGAGGGGAATGCTTATGCTTATGCTTACTTTAAGCTTAGTAGATGTGCTTTGGTAGCATGGGTATCAGAGCTGAGAAAGCGTCCTTAGTATTCACTGCTGATGGGTAGTAATGTTGTGATATACTGTGGTGTTGTATTTGCAAAGCTTGGCTGGATTTAAGAGTACCCCACATTCTTAGTACTGTGTGGTTACTAAGGTTGATGGTCGGGGAGGGGGGCTGCCTGCCTGACCACGCGGAGGACGGGGGCCATGTGGGATGTGGAATGTGTGATGCCTTATTTACGACCCCGCATCCCTGGTAACTACTTTAGTTAAGTTGATGTTGGGGGAATGGGTGGTAAGTCGTTCTGATAAAGAAGTGGATTACATGGATGAATTCTAGTAATCTAGTTAGTCGCTAATTCTTGTATAGCTAGGATAAAATATTTAAACGGAAGTTAATGAGACACTTTATAGCCTTTCTGTGATGAGTTAGTGACTCTGCTTTTCTGTATGATCACCATAAGGCTATCAGCCCCGATCATACGGTATCAGAGGTTCTAGACATCAAGGGAATTACTTGGGACGCCTCGACGGGTTTGACACATGGTGATACAGTGCGTATCAGCAGTGGTGGTGGTGGTGCTTTCTTACTCCCGAAAATTAGACAGATCTTAGTACTTCTCACAGATACCACCTCACATGACCGGGATCCGTCCAGTAGCCTGTCACACCAGACATGGCAGATCCTTGCAGTGTCACTACAGACATACTCGCTCATCATTCGTGGCAAGCAGAAGTTGTGCGTGTGTGTGGGTGTGTATAATAGTCTAGATGAGTGAAAGTGCTCACCGGGTCATTGATCCATGGTAGAATGGTCTGAGGCAATTCCTAACCCAGTGTTATTGACATCCATTTGCCCCCCTCCTTTCCTTAAGCGCATTAGCTCAGTGTATATAGCACCACTCGCTATAATTGATTGCATCTCGTATTGATGGACTCTCGGCTAAAGTTGAATTTTTCTGGATGGCGCATGCACTGGCGGGACGAGACGTCGTGGTCGCCAAGCCTCTTGGCATGACACGCTGATTCCTGACGGGCGAGGGACATTCTACGCCTGAAACCAGAGATACGGGGACGGATTCTACCCATTGGAGGGAGGCGAGTCACCCGGTATAGGCCTTTCCTGGATAAGAATAAGAAATTAAACCACGTGTGAAGTTGAAAAGAGTCTTTCGGACAGGTCCGAGGCTGTTCCTCCAGACCCAACAAAGAATCCCGCGAACGGAGGGCCAACTTCGGACCAAGACCTAGATGCGGACAGGAAGACCAGTTACCTTCCGACTCAGCGGGCTGGGCAACCTTGGATAGTTGGGGTGGCGTCGCGGCCGTCTGTGCTCGCTACCAGGTGTTCTGGAGAGGAAGGCTCGTGATTAGCTCCGGATTACGGGCCATCATCGGAAAGGTTACATTGGAGCTTAACATAGGGAAAAGTGATTTTGGGGAACTATTGACATGGGAGGCGAGAACAATGAGGGTGACATGCCAGGGGTCAAAGAAAGATGCTTACTAGGTTACCCCGATACACCAGAGTGCGCTGGAGGATGTTGGTGAAAGTTGATCAGGGTCCGAGAAAGCTCATCTCGTGATCGGAAACCCAAAATGACAGCACTAAGCGGATCCGGCTAGCCTGGCACCTGATATTGTGGGGAATCCCTTTCCAACGCAACACGTGGTAGGCTCAATTTTCCGACCCCTGTGAAACCCTGCCAATCAGAGTGAAGGCCAGAACCAGACGGGGTTTGCCGGCCTGGACCGAGTTTCTGTTTGGCTGTTGGCAACTAAATCCTGTCAACAAGGTCGTACTATACTAGTAGGTTTACTTGCAGACTTACTATGCCTAGTAGGGTGTATACCAGCGACTTGTCCTGGGTTGGTACTGGACCTCCCCGTGAACCGTTGCCCCCCTGTGGGTGCATTTCTTACGGTCAACCTGGGGAAACCAGGTCTGGGGTCGCACAGAACTTTCCCCTGTGGGTAAAACTTAACTCTCCGGGAAATTACCTCAGCCTGATGATTGGACATCGCAGGCTGGAAAAGAGGCATTCACCTGGGCTTCGAAGCGAGCCATCCCAATCAAGCCTGGTGGTAATTTCGGATTCTGGGCCCTGTGCATTCCATCGGTAGACTGCAGTGAATGGCGCTCCACAGCAATGGCAGTCATGCAGCCCAACGAGTCACGGCCGGCGGCCAAACTGGAAGGACGGCATCGTGGCCAAAGCTGGGGAACCCCGTGGGCATTCCCCGGAACCGATGCTGGCCCGATTCCCAACGGGAAGTTGCGAGTCCAGCAGAGTGAGCTGAGCATGATGCAACTTGGTCCCTCGCACAGGATTATAAAACCGTCCAATACCCCTGATCTCGATTTTTCTTGTTTCTCGGTGCTTTCCTCCCCCTCTTTTCTCCGTCCCCTTCCTTCATATTCTCCGGTCTCCGTGTGAACGCCGCTACCTTTCCCTTTATTGCTGCCATAAGGCTTCTGCCCATCCTTCTTCTTGTCGGTTTTTCTTTCACTGTGCAGACCGTCACACAGTTTCTCCCTTAGTAGCCATGGCTGAAGGCTTCGTTGACGCCTCGCGCGTCGAGGCCCCAGTCACCCTCAAGACCTACCTGATGTGTGCCTTTGCGGCTTTTGGTGGTATCTTCTTCGGTTATGACTCTGGTTATATCAGCGGTGTCATGGGAATGAGATACTTCATCGAGGAGTTTGAGGGCTTGGTACGTAGCGTCGTTGCATCAAACTATTACGAAGCGGGAGGGACTGACATCGATGTAGGACTATAACACTACCCCCACCGATTCCTTCGTCCTCCCGTCCTGGAAAAAATCGTTGATCACGTCGATCCTCTCGGCTGGAACCTTCTTTGGTGCCCTCATTGCTGGTGACTTGGCAGACTGGTTCGGTCGTCGCACTACCATTGTCAGTGGTTGTGTTGTCTTCATCGTTGGTGTTATCCTGCAGACCGCTTCGACCTCCTTGGGTCTGCTTGTTGCCGGCCGTCTGGTCGCGGGATTTGGTGTGGGCTTCGTCTCCGCCATCATTATCCTGTACATGTCTGAGATTGCACCTCGCAAGGTTCGCGGTGCTATTGTCTCAGGGTACCAGTTCTGCATCACCATCGGGCTCATGTTGGCCTCGTGCGTCGACTACGGCACTGAGAACCGTCTCGACTCTGGCTCCTACCGTATCCCAATCGGCCTCCAGCTCGCCTGGGCCTTGATCCTGGGAGGTGGTCTGCTCTGCCTGCCCGAGTCCCCTCGTTACTTTGTTAAAAAGGGCGACCTGGCTAAGGCTGCGGAGGTTCTTGCCCGCGTTCGTGGTCAACCCCAAGACTCGGATTATATCAAGGATGAGCTGGCGGAGATTGTGGCAAATCATGAGTACGAGATGCAGGTGATTCCGGAAGGTGGATATTTCGTCAGCTGGATGAACTGCTTCCGTGGCAGTATATTCTCGCCCAACAGCAATCTCCGTCGGACTGTCCTAGGTACTTCTCTGCAGATGATGCAACAGTAAGTCTCAACCTTGCCACACACACACACACACACACACACACAGAAAGGGAAAGAAATACTGACCGTCCTCTAGGTGGACCGGTGTCAACTTTGTTTTCTACTTTGGAACGACCTTCTTCCAGTCGGTGAGTAAGCTCGATCTGTGCTTGAGATGACGCGCTGACGGAGTTATAGCTGGGAACCATCGATGACCCCTTCCTTATCAGCATGATTACCACTATCGTCAACGTCTGCTCGACCCCCGTCTCGTTCTACACAATTGAGAAGTTTGGCCGCCGTTCGCTCCTTTTGTGGGGAGCACTTGGTATGGTCATCTGCCAGTTCATTGTCGCTATCGTCGGCACCGTGGACGGTAGCAATAAGCATGCTGTCAGTGCAGAGATTTCCTTCATCTGCATTTACATCTTCTTCTTTGCTAGCACGTGGGGCCCGGGCGCCTGGGTTGTGATTGGCGAGATCTTCCCCCTACCTATTCGGTCGCGTGGTGTGGCTCTGTCGACGGCATCGAACTGGCTGTGGAATTGCGTAAGTAGATTGCTCCCCTATTGATGAAACACGCTGACCAGTCAGATCATCGCTGTCATCACCCCTTACATGGTCGACAAGGACAAGGGTGACTTGAAGGCCAAGGTGTTCTTCATCTGGGGCTCGCTGTGTGCCTGCGCTTTTGTCTACACGTACTTCCTAATTCCGGAGACCAAGGGTCTCACTCTTGAGCAGGTGGACAAGATGATGGAAGAGACCACGCCTCGCACCTCAGCCAAGTGGACTCCACATGGCACCTTCACGGCCGAGATGGGTCTTACTGCGAATGCCGTGGCCGAAAAGGCTACTGCGGTTCACCAGGAGGTGTGAGGGACGGGATATTAGTTTCGACAATGGTTTGCTGCTGACGACGAGTTGGTGGGTTTGCATACATAAGGGTATGCTCGGTTACTATCATGATTAATCTAGCTTGCTTAATTCTGTTTACTTTACGTTAGTTATAGCTGAGTAATGACGCATGATACCACTATAATCGTATCTTTGGTGACCTGTTCCGTGTCTTTGTCTTCGTGTCCATATCGAACGGTAAGAATATGAGTGAACCCGCCTGGGCAAACCCAAACAAGTTGGAATCTTCCAACACCCCGCTAAGAGCAAGGGAAGCGATCGAAGCCTCTGTAGTGCGGATCCACATCATGTCGCCGTGAAAACTTGGCTGGTGCGACTAGAAGTCGGGGGTGTTGTGTCCCTGACTCTGCCTATCG